CATCATTGGTTAAGTGGTCGCCCCTATTGTTGGTGTCGTTATCCTCTGTGGACACTTCGATGGCTGTCGTCGTCTCCTTCTTAACCCTGGGATCAGCTTTGCTTTCCGTCGTCTCATCAGCGGTTGACCTGTTTTTGGAGACAACGGATGAGTCTTCCGAAGACCTGGAGGTCGAGACAGACGACGAACTCCTGCTCTTTGTGGAGATAACGGACGAGCGATCCCAAGACCTGGAGGTCGTGGCGGACGACGAACTCCTGCTCTTAATCTTGATATCACCGCAAGTGGTGGTCGTGTCGTTGTCGATGACATCATCATATTTGGTGAGTCGGGAGGCCTTGCGGTCGCTGTCTCTCTGGCGCTCAACCATCTTGTGGTCGGCGCGACTGTCGGCCACACGTGTGGGTCTTCGGCCATCGCCTGCACGACTGTCGCGACTATTGTCTTCTTCCTCACTGTCCGACCCGTGACGCCGTCTTCTCTTGAAGTTTCCGTCGTCTTCTTCGGACGAGTCGTCGCTATCGACGTAAACCATTGGATCAGCTCTTCAGAGGCGTCTCTATGTCTGGTGTGGTGTCTGTCTGTGCGTCCACTCAATCCAGTGGTCACTCAAAGCACGTGACAAACGGAGCACTCATTCACGCATTCAATGTATGTATGGTTCGCGCGATTGTGTGTTAAATGCTATTCATATGTCATATAATAATCCAAACATTCATTGAATTAATGAATTAATTGTTTGCGAATTGAATGGAAAAATGCAAACATTTTTATATATTTTTAAATATTGACGAAATCATATGTGAGGGCCTCTCATATGGTATGTCTCACAGGAGACACACAAGTGAATGGCCTTTTCATTCACGTTTTGGCTGTGTTTTCAATGGGCGCTCAGCTGTGAAAGGGTTGCCCAACACGTGTGCATTCATTGACGTAATGTGTGTTTGCATTGAATTCAAGCGCCAAACATAATCGGCTGCCTTTCAGTGGTTATTAGCGCATAACTTATGGTTTAGCACTAATTGTACTTGCTTGTTTACCAAATAAAATTAAAGTTACTTGCATATTTATTAATTTAAATTACAAATTAATTATTTTGTTTAATTACCAATGTGAAAAATGTAATTAGTGTAACAATTAGCTTATAGTTACTTCCCTTGGTTACAGTGTATTTCTTTATTAGTTGAAAACGACGGGTTCGGGTCTATTGACCTTAAAACCAATTGACCTAAACTTAAATAATTTAATGACCAGTAAGTAAATATACCTGATGACCAGTGTAAAATGTTCCCCTTGACCTAACCTAACCTAACCTTACCTATCCTTACAATGGTCAAAAGTCCATTGGTCATTAAGTTACTTAAATTTAGGTCAATTGGTTTTTAGGTCAATTTGCCAGTTCCCGAAAACGACCGCTATAAAATATATTTAAATTTATTTTAGAAATTTTCCACAGAAAAAATTGTTTAGCCAGCATGAAAAATGTGGTATGATTATAAAGGTCAATTATATTTAGAAATTTTCAGTAGTGGTCAACAATGGTCAGAAATGTCAAAAAATAACTTGAATAATTGCAATAGTTTTAATTATATTAACATTGATTACATACAGAGGCGGTCAGATCTATGTAGGATCGGCATATTTTGAATAACTTTTGAATGGATTAACCAATCTCAAAATGGTTTTCAGCATGTTGTAGCTGGATAATGTCAAAATCTAACGGTATACTATTTGCCATATAAAAAACGAGGATAACATAATAATTTGAATTTAAAACATAAGAGCAATTTTTTACAGAAATTAATGAATTTTATTACTAATAAATGAAAACATTTGAAGTAATTATGAAATATTGTCTCAATTAATATCGTGTGTCCGCCCTGAGCATTGACTACCTCTTCCAGTCTACGGGGCATTGAATTCACCAAATCAATGAAATATTGACGCCATTCAACGCCGCTCATTGTCTCGTGAGCCCGAAGTACAGCCGCCCATAACTGGTCTTGTGAATCGATGACCAGGCGCTCTGTTCGTACAAGATTTTTTATCATTGCGCCGACATTTTCGCACGCGTTGAGGTCTGGGCTGACTGAAAAATAAAATTTAATAAAAAATTTAATAATAATGTTTAAACTTAAATACCCTGGATGAGGAACAACGAAATCACTTGTGTCGCCAATATTCTCATTAATCCACTCCCTTACGTGATTTGACTTATGAACCGGGTGGTTGTCGTGAAGCAAAAGCACATTCCCGTCATCGAAATGGTTGTCTATTTCGGGGAGTATTGAGTCCTCCAGAAACTCTGCATATGACTCTTTAGTCAGCCGATTGACGCGATGGATTGGTCCCATTCCATGGAAACTGAAACTATTAAATAAAATATAAAAATAAATGTAAATATGAATTTTGGGTAAAAACCTTGCAATGAATGAGACACTAAAACGACGTGTTCTCTGAATTAATCTGATATTTCGCTCGTCATATCGCGTGCCGTTTGTGCGCCAAACCAAAATACGACCTCGATCACCCGTACAAATACTGAATTCATCAATGAATAAAACTCGAGACCAATCAACTAGAGTCCAATTGATGAACTGCTCCGCGTAAATAAGACGCCTTTCCTGATGGAAAGCGCGAAGCCTTTCCTTTATGGCCGCCACTCGATGTCTCACTCCTTATAATAGAAATTATTTTTAATATTTTCCTATTTTAAAAATTTATGTCATACCCTGGTCACTCAACCTCCGTCTCAAAGTTCGGTCACTCGCTGATGCAATGTTTGCATTGCATTGTATTTCTGGCATTTGTCTCAATTCATTGATATGCGACCAATTGTTGTTGAGTGCGACGGTCCGGAGGGTCTGTTCATCGGTAGTTGTGGTCTTTTTGTCGACTCCACCAACTCGTGGGACAGTTATGAATGGCCGCTCCTTGTCATCAATTAGACACCACTCGTAATAAGTGGTTTTACAAATGCCTATAAAATAGGATTTTTAGTAAAAATTAATTTAAATACAAAATATTTATTTACCAACTAATCGGAGAATTTGACGTTTTGTTGTCTCCTTTGCTCTCAATTTAATAAATTGTCTGAATTTCATTTCGCGCTCAACAACAGTGAAAACCATTTTAATTGAAATTTGTTTACAATTTAAGACAATTGAAAAAACATTTGCAAACAATTCAAATAAACAATTTGTCTAAACAAAGAAAACCTCACATAAATTATGTTGTATGCCTCACATCAATTACATGTACACTCATCTAATATAAATGTTTTCAAAGTTTCAAGTTATAAAAGTTACTTTTATTTTTTACGTTAAATTTACAATGTTATCCTGGTTATTTATATGGAAAATAGTATACCGTTAGATTTTGACATTATCCAGCTACAACATGCTGGAAACCATTTTGAGATTGGTTAATCCATTCAAAAGTTATTCAAAATATGCCGATCCTACATAGATCTGACCGCCTCTGTATATGTAATTAAATTAAATATATTATAATTATACGATTAAGGCAAATCAAAATAATATATTCATTAGGAATATTAGGTGTTTCAATATGGTTTTCTTTTGGAGATTCAAATGTATTGATAAGGATTTTATATTTTATATCAATATTCCATACCTCATTTAGTATATTTGATACTATTTGAAAGGCACATTTTGAATAAGAAAAAAATTTATTTCTCATTCAATAGAATTAAATAATCAATTAAAGTATTTTGAATCAAACTTTGAAAATGTGCAAAAGAAATATGGCTAGGTATAGAAGAGAGCATAATTTGTTAGACAATATTATTGCTATTAATGAAGTAAATTTATAAAAATATTTTATGTAATCATTAAAACAATTTATTTTATTTCTAGTCTTGGCTCCGTTGCTATGACCCATTAACAGATCAACAAAGTCAAGAGTGGCGTCAACCTGGGGAGGATCCGTAAGTTTAATCAAAAACATAATATTCAGCTTTTGTAATCAATTGTTTTTAGTCCAACACGTGTAGTATCCGAATTAAGAGATTTCAAGATATTAATGACAGTTATTATATGCCAAGATGAAATTATTGGAGTCCAATATTTAGAGCGTGGGGAAACAATGAACGGGGATCGATATAAAGCATTTTTTAAAAATGTTTTAAAGCCTTTGATTCAACAAAAACGTATCAGAAATCTATATATTTTGCAGGATCATGCAACCCCCCATGAACGTGGAGATGTTCAAGCATATATTACTGGACAAGGCTGGAATCTATTAGATCACCCAGCTTAGTCTGACCTGAACCCGGTATTTATTAAAATAAAATTCTAAAAATTTGTATTAATTAATAGTTTAGTGCGATTTCGATGTTTTTCATCGCATCAAAAGACCCCTCAAAGGAAAACGCTTTGCAACACGAGATTTACTGATTGCTGCTGCAGATGAATCCATAAAACAAATTAACACAGATCATAAGTTAATTGGCATTGCTAGGAAATAATTGATGCAAAAGGGGAGTATTTAATTCATAATGGCTAAACAAACATATTTGTTCTCAGATTTTTTACTGAATAATGTAATCCTATATTTTAATGTTTAATTCAGGTTTTTTAATCTGGGATATTCACTTACTTTATACTCTACCTTAATATTGGAAATATTGTTATTTTGGATATAATATGTAAATTTTGGTGAATTTTATAAAATCATTTTTTGAAAAAAAATTTGGTCTTTTTTTTATAAATTTTTAAAAATATTAATAAAACGCCTAAAAGTTGGTTATTTTTAAAAATTATTTGTGCTATACTTATTAGAATTAACTAGTGCTCATTATAGGCATAATTAATTTTTAAATATGTTATTTTATTTCTCAAACACATGGGACCCTATGGCAGAATTGACCATTTTCAAAGTTAAACTGTAAGCAAGTATGTAATATATTTTAAATTATAGTATCCCCTCTGCCATACCCTTACTCCATATAATTTTTAACATTAGTAATCTTTGCGCTGGCTATGCGTCCAGCAAATCATCTAATATCACAGAATATTCTTGAGGACATACAGAATATTCTTGTTTTTTCATTACTACCTCATAATGAACTTTAAGTGTGCCAGAGCATAGATTTTTGCTATATCTAATAAGCGAGATATTAAACAAACTTCCATTGCAATACTTTATGACTAACTTTATACTTACAATTTTTGTACAAGCAAACTATTTTTAGTATTTTGAATGACCTTTCGAACCTACTTGGAATCATCAGGACACAGTCATCCAGTGCTAAGATAAATGGATTTAAAATTACCAAATTTAAAAAGAAGTTTATTTAAAAGTCAACAAGGCAAAATCATGCGAAATCCAGAATTTAGTGTTTTGCTATTGACCCTGTGCATTAAATCCAAAAAACACAACTTAAAAATGTTTACTACTTTTTAAGTAATTTAAGATTTTCAAAAACTACCGTTCCCTACCGTTCCTTTAGGTTTTGACCAATAGTTGGCATATCGACTATATCGTACCAAAAAATAATAGTTGCAAAAAATTTTGTTTTAATCTAGCTCAATTCTAACCTATATTAAACTTAACACTTACCAGTATTTTGGCTAGGCTTTTACATTCACTAAATATCTGTATAATTAGTATAGTTATGATTACATTCTTATAATAATTATTGTCAGTATAATTAATTATGGACTCAAATTCAAATCAAACTCTTAATGAATAAAAGTTGTAAGAAATCAAGAATTTCATGAGAATTCAAATGAATATAATTTTATTAAATTCCTAAACATTTATTACAAAAACGCGAACATAAAGAGTATTTGAATCCATAGTTTTGGTGTTTGTGTTGCAATGAGTGGACACAGGAATCCAAGGGTTAACCCAATAATACTCTCTTTAGCCTGAATTCTGTGATCATCTCTTCGTTCATATAATTGTCGGACTCGTCGTCGGAACTGTTGATGCGATTGAGTGGCGAAGACCCGGATGACTGCGATGAGGAGCACTGGGGTGAGCACAGGTACTGCAGCAGTGGTAGTCGGTATGAGCCGCAAAAGTCCACAAACTTTATGTGTTGCACACGTGAGTCAAAGTATACGCCTGAAGAATATATGTATGAATGGTATTGAAGATTAGTATTCAAACATATTTGCATTCATTCATTAATGAACACAATTCATGTCACTAAAGTGGTCATGAGTATTTTATATACACATTATTAAAACTAATTCATTAGCATATATGAACAGAATATTCCTATATGTGTTTTAGTTAAATACAATTGTGTTTAAATTGTTTATGTATGAATACCTTTGCACTTAGGGTTTACACATCGATGAGCACTATTGAGGTAACCGACCAAACAGTTTGGCAGTTCATCGGCACTGTAATGAAGTTTATTTAATTTGATGGACCGGGCGGCCAGTTCCATGAGACTCGGCACGTCATACCTGGCCATACATCACAAACAATAACAGTTAAAAAAAATAAACAGATAACAAACAATTAACGACGCCTTACATCATATCCCGGATGAACCGCATAACCAGCGGATTGTTTCTGAGGGACAGTTCCATAAGATATCGTAATTTAACGATTTGTGGCGGCAATGTAGTCAAGCAGTTGCGGTGGAGGGCGAGTGACCGCAAGGACTTCAACTGTGCGATAGTCGGCGGCAGACTTTTCAGTTGATTCTCGCACAGAGACAGCGACTCCAAGTGCTGCAGTCGGCCCACCTCTTCGGGCAGTTCCGACAGTTGATTGCCTCCCAAATACAGCAAACGCAACGATTCCAGGCGATGGATATCCCGGGGCACCGACTCAATGGCATTACTGCCCAAATACATGTAATACCAATGGTTTCAATGGTTTTTGAATGAATTGTGTGAAAATCGCGTCTCAATTGGATTTACTACACAAACACACCACTCATTGCTCAGTGATTTGTATTGAATGGTGATATCAGTAGTGCGGCACTGAATTAGATGAATGTCTCATCACACGGAAGGTATGTCCCCTATGATCACCACAAACACATCCACCACACACTCACACACTGTCGCAGCCATAGCCAAGTGAATGGTCTCTCACTGTCTCTCAGCCATAGGCTTGCAGTCGACTGCCATTCACAGCAATAGTCAATGCATTGCTATATAAACGTACGAAACATTTCAAAATGGCTCTCATTTTGTCATCATATCTCATATGACCACCGATTTGGCGACGATTGGCTCACCCGTGGACCCCATGTCCACCTCTGAAGGTGACCTATGGGTCCATCTGATCCCTGTGTTGAGCCTATGGGCGGCAATGAGTGGCAAATGTATGCATCGGTCGCTGGGATTGTAGCGAAAGTGTCGCCTAATATCGCATACCATTAGACCTCTCAATGCATTGATTACTGTCTTTTAGGCCTCATATTAGACCCGATTTTTAATGTTAATTACCACTCATTATAGGGTTGACCTCTAATACACATTCACACCATTAGTCATAAATTGTGAGCCAATTATACAGCTATGAAATGATGCAAAAATGTGTGAATGATGTGAGTTGTGGTAATCAGTTGTCTGACACCCGCATCGGTATCTCACCGTAAACTCTATCACATGAATGGTGTGAATAGTGTAGGCCTTCCCATATAATGTACATAAAAATGTAATTTGCTTACAAATGATAGCTATGTGTACTGTATATATGGTTAACAAACATAATGCAAAATATAAATTAATAATCAATACGAAATTATTAACTTACGTTATATTGTTTTATATGCCATATAATGGACAATATGTTTGTGTATTATTAACAAACCATACGCTTATTGATATGGTTTATGTCTGTAGTATATGACTATATGTTTGCAGCACTTATGATGTAAATCTAATTTGTGTTATTCATCGAAAGCACCACCGATTCCCTGGCAGTCAGACAATTGGTCCAAAGAGTTGCTCTTGAATTATAGCAAAAGACAATCAGATAAACCAAATGCAGGCAAAAGTAATAATAAGTATTTTTATATGAATCGACGCTTTTTTGTATATAATTCTTGTCTAACGCGAGGAATATTCTGTGTGTTGTGTATGAGGAGGGGGTCAGTTAGGGGCCAACACCCCCTGCCATTGCCCTCGCGCTATATATACAGTGCAGTGTTTTTAGCAGTTAATGTGAGAGTCATATGATTATTATGTGACTTATCTCTCAAACACCAGAGAAACAGAGCCACTAGTAATGCATTGGTTATCAAACGGTACACTATTTGAATTGAATCGAGGATTTTATATTCAAATTCAAATTGAATACTATCTCTGCCGACCCCCTCCTCACCCCCCATTCCCCAGCGAAACAATGTGTTTATATATGTATTGATGTGTGAAAAGTGTTGTACTAATTGGCGATACGATTGGTGTGATTGCAGGCAAAGATGGCTCAAAAGTGACACAAGTAATCGCCACTCCAGGCCAGGGACCGGACCGGCCGCATAAATTCTCGCGAATAGTGTCCACAGAATATCCAGAATTATCGACAAAATATGTAATATTCTCTAAAAAATAAGTTAAAAACCAAAAAGATTTAAAAACACAAAAATCAAAGCCTTATATTGAGAATATATTACGAAAAATGGGCGGAAAAACTCTGAAGTTTTGAAAACAATAACTAAAAACTATACAAATCAATCATAATTTATAATTATCTTATATAAAGTGGTTCTCTGTATAATATATAATGAATTAGCGGTGTATAGTGTATAACATATACATTTATTTATAATAATTATCTCTCTCAAATTATATACCCTAAATGTTAAGGTTTTTATTTATCATATTCACATTTACAAACAGTTGTGTTCATTATTTTTCTCTATATTAAACAATTTATTTAATAGTTAATAAAATGTGAAAATTGGTATGTGTTTCAATATTTGTTTCATTTATGAATGATTTTTTAAATATTAAATTAATAATATTGTCTCGAAATATATAGTATTTGTCACAAATGAATAGCAATGTATAGAAATGCAAACATCATTTTCACATTTTATTAAGTCTTTTGTCTGTCTTGTGGTTTAAGAAGTGGTTTGTAATAATGGTTTTGGTCACAGAGTTTTGGTTTTTTTATACACAATTATCATTTTTATAATTATAGTACTCATAATTCAATGAATCAATTTAATAATCAATTATGTGGTTAACAAAGTTTCGGTGCCATAGAAAAAACATTTGCAAATAGTTGTCTCACATTTTACAAAAAATGTGTGCATTTTAATGGTTTGTATGACTTCTAAATATATTATATTTTTTGTAAACATTTATATTTTTGAATATTTTGTCACATTTTTGGTATGAAAACAAATAATTGTTTAACAAAAACAAAACTGGGATTCAAATGATTGGGGAAAAATAAGTCTAATTAGGAATAAATCATAAGAAACCACAGAAAATAGTGATAAATACAGAAACTCTATATAAATACTAAAATTATTTGCACTTTTGGTTCAAAAATAAGTTTCTAATAATGAATACCGAAAATTCTAAACAACAAAATATTGTAAAAATAAATAGTTTTGAAACAAAGATTTCTCTCTCTTTTCATCTCATCTCTCATCTAAAGTGGAGTTTAAAATAATTTTCTCAAAAAACAAGCGAATAAAACATGTATTCACTTATAAATGATTAACTAATTTACGATACACTCAACAGAAAATTGCAAATAATTAAAGTTAAACACAAAGAATATTCAAAAATAATCAAATGAGACAATAGTTTAGGAAATTTTTGTTTACAAATTTAGACCACTGTTTGTCAGCAAATGATTTGTCAACAAAACAAAATTTATTAAACTATAAGTAAAACAAATGATTTTTTCTCGAAAATATATGACACACGAGAATACAATATGACAAGAGTTTTGACAATAATTTTCTTAAAAACTATTTACACGTTCATTAAAAGAGTGGCCAACAGTTCAGTCAAATATAGTATAAGTTGTCTACAAAACCAATAGATATGAACATTGAATGCATTTTTAGAGTATAATGAGTGACAGAAATAATACTACAGAATATGTTTTGAATTTAAAAAACAAGAAATCGTTTCATTGCTTCAAAAATTTCTAAACAGAAAAAACGAAAACCAAATTCAAAGTCTAATTGCATTTAAGAGTGAATACTAAGTATTTTCATGTTATGATTGTATCTAATCTTTGAGAAATCAAGAACTACTACAAAATCAGGGGAACAGGAGGGCACAGGTATTACAACAAAGCAAATAATTGATTGCAAATAAACAATTAAATACTTAAAATGGAAATCAATTGTCATTTTGTGATTACATCTCATTTTATTCGCACTCGAACTGCAAGTCTTGTGTTTTGTATTCAAAACTATGGTTTCATAACTTGATAACTAATCGTAATAATAATAATCAATTAATTATTATTTAATGGAAATATTTTCATGAAATATATATATATTTGTGGTTTTGTCACATGTTTTAACTAATAGTGAATTCTTTTTATATAAACTCTGTGTTTGTGTTTATTTTACTCTCAATTAAACACTAATTATATACTAATCATTGTTGTGATGAAGAGGCGGCCACTACGGGCGCACCGGTACTCGTCTGCGACTCGTTTGACTGTAACATATCGGCGGTGGAGGCGCTCACAGCGCCCACCGTTGACGTTGAAGAGACTGCTTGTTGGAGATCACTGCCCACGGGCACCGCCGAGGCCGACATACCGCACGACATGCTGGGGCCCGCCCCGGACGACTGGGCCCCCGACGTAACAGTCGACGTCGAGGCCGCGGCCATAGCCACGCCACACACCGACCTGAGGTGCGCCGGTATGAGCACCGACTCGAGCGAGGGTTGGATTTTGAGTTCCTGTTCAGTGAAGTTGAATAGTGGCGGCAACTCCTTGTTGTTGGGCAGTCGAGTGCCCGGCTCTCGCAACTCGCTGAAGAACGGGTGACCACAGGCCTGGAGGGGTGTTATGCGCGACGACGGCGTGTACTCCAACAGCCGCGACACCAACTCTATGGCTTCCGGTGGGGTACGGGTGCGGAACACCTGTTACACAGACACACAACCAACACAATAGTCAATCAATTATTGTATGAATTAAAACTTTAATAAATTATGCAATATTTGCAGTTATTTTTAGAGTTTATGCGACCAAAAAAGGTATTAAAAATCCGTTAATAAACAATAAAACAATAAAACTTCAACTAATTATATAATAAAACCCATTATTTTAAATAAATTAAGACTTTTCGTTCACTGAATTTCATTTACTCTCTAAAAATTCCCCCAAATATTAGCGTTTATTTCGAGGAAAATATAAAAACTACAATTTCCCCGATAATTAGCCAAACAATTTGGAAATAAAAGTGAAATATTTAAATCAAAACAATTTATCGTAAAAATCAATCAAATAATATTCAAATACTTCTAAACTCGTAAAACTATTCACACGATAAACAAAAAGATAACCAATAAATAGAAATTTCAAAATCAATTAAAACTATAACTTTTTTATCAATCAATTGACTGACAGCTCGGTATTAAAGGGGGGAACAACACGATAGGAAAGGGTGATAATATGCGCGTAAATACCATGGAATCTGAGCCTACCTTTTGCCAGGGATGGGCTTTGATTTGTGGAAACTTGAATTCAGTGTAATTGCGGTTCATTTCGCGGATCTGCTCCTTCGTCGGTGTACCCAATACTTTGATGATCTCAACCAATTGGTCGACACCGGAGTCGCCCGGGAATATGGGCTGACCTAACAGGAGTTCGGCCAACACACAGCCCGCCGACCACACGTCTGTCCCAAACGCATACATTAGACATCATTAGAGACCGTAATTAATATATTTAATATGCATTCAATACTAGTGTACAACAAATCTGTGCATTAATTATGAATTCATTCAAAAAAGCCAAATTCATTTCTAATTTCAAGGCTATAATGACTAATAGATTGCGAATACATATTTTATAGTGACTACAAAATATCAATTTATTATCGCGTTTATAAATTATGGTCAAAGTCTGAGAGCTGTAAAAATCTCACTCACAATAAGTAAGTCATGTATTACTGAAAACAATTTCAAAGACAACTGCAAAAACTGTCGACTCAGAGAAATACGAGTCTTAAAACATGAGATTTTCATTCATTCGCTATTTATAAAACAAAATAATAAAACTTATAACTAAACAGTGGTTATAGTAAACGCACATATTATATATGCATTGATTTACAGCAGAAACTCATTGGAATAGTAATCAATCAAATAGAGTCTCAAATAAACAGATAATCATTAAAAAGAAATTAAAAATATCTAATCGACCGAAAAAAATATGACATTTAATCGCATAATTAGGCAAAAAACAGGAGATATAGGAAGAGACGGGACTTTCCCTGCTTCCCAGTCCTATGACACCGACTGTGCGGTGGATATGGCTTATACACTGCAATATCCTGTAATCCAAGCACACATTACTATACAAAAAAATATATGTCAACGAAATCTACGGATTGTTTAGCAACACAAAAACAACAAAATAAAAATTGTCTAAAAAACGGATAAAACCTAATCTCGAGAAACATCACACGGAGTCATAAACGGGGTTATCATCAAAACTAATGAACTCGAAAACATAAAGTCTAACGTATTTTCTTTGCCAACGAATTAAATGCGGCGATTAGTACACGAATTAATTGAATGAACAAAAAACAAATCGGTATAAAAAGGGCAATAAAATAATGACAAAAATAATAGGCATATAACAAGTCATACCAATCATTGTGGTGTAATCCGTTGCCCCGAATATGAGTTCAGGCGCTCTGTAATATCGGGAACAGATATACGAGACATTGGGCTCTCCTCTCACCAAATGTTTCGCACTAAAAAACGGACAGAAATACACATTAATTTTCAGCTTTTAATTAATTCATCGCAAAAAACATGGAGAGGTTTTTAATTTAATTAAATTTTGATTGATTTGTGTGACAAATGACTGCGAATGATAAATTGTGAAACACATCTATATAAACACATTAATGCAGTTGAAAAAACTCATTAAATAAAAAAACTAAAAAAAGTATTGCAAATAATAATCGATAGGAAAAAAATTTGCCTAAAACTCAAACTTAAAACAAATCACACAACCAATTGATACACTAATATAAACAGAGAAAAAGCCCTTCAAAAGTGAGTGACATATGGGTGTCTATTAAAAGCATGAAAAACAATCTAACGGTGCGATACATACCTTCCAAAATCACATAATTTAAGAACACCGCTATTGGGGTCGAGTAATAAGTTTTGTGGTTTGATATCCCGGTGACAAATGCCCAGCGAATGGATATAAGCTAACGACCGAAACAGTTGATACATATATAGCTTTATGAATGATATCGGAATTGTTTGCTTTGACTTTGAATAGTGTCGCGCGACTCGATATACCGTTTCCGGTATGAACTCCAACACCAGATTCAGATACACTACCGAAACAGTTGATACATATATAGCTTTATGAATGATATCGGAATTGTTTGCTTTGACTTTGAATAGTGTCGCGCGACTCGATATACCGTTTCCGGTATGAACTCCAACACCAGATTCAGATACACCTCGTCTTTCTGTTCGCACGTAATTAAACACAAAAAAAAAATTTAATTAAAAAATCCACACAAAAATAAATACTTATTTCATTACTAGTAATGACACTGCGATTAATTGATTCATTGCATACATTAATTGCATATAACTGTGTAATCCCTTACAAGACAAACACATATCATATGCCATTGAAAACGGGAATTACACACAAAAACAATTAAAACAATCGCTTCTCAACGGAAACGGTGGCTTAAGATCCCAAGCGATTACACAACACCTAAAAAACTCAACAATAGATTTGTGCGAAACAATGGACACACCTTTTCGCCACTGGTGTAGAAGAAGTACTTGAGTTTGACGACATTGCAGTGGTCCAGGCGCCGCATAATCTGCAACTCGCGGTTCTTAAACCTCTTGTCTTGGAGCACACGCTTGATGGCCACCATTTCCGAGGTGTCGACGAGTCGGGCCTGATATACGACCCCAAACGAGCCGTTGCCGATCACCTTCGTGTCCGTGTAGGAGACCTCTTGCGGCCGGTCCGGTCCCTGGCCTGGAGTGGCGATTACTTGTGTCACTTTTGAGCCATCTTTGCCTGCAATCACACCAATCGTATCGCCAATTAGTACAACACTTTTCACACATCAATACATATATA